TGGCCATTGCAAGCTGCAGTTGTGCATAAAAACATGGCTGGCCATTGCAAGCTGCAGTTACTGTGACATTGGAGCACTGTTTTGTTCAAAACAGTTTTTGGCTTTCTTAGATTTTCCAACAAAACGATACAACATGTTTCGGCCACTACTTAATGCATGTTTAGCATGCGCAATACGAAGTTGTGGTGCGTGTTTAGCATGCACAATACTTGATTGGTACTATAGGTACTTGAATACCACTTTCAGGTGGATCCAACCTGGTTAGCAACCGCCGCTTCATCAGGCTGCTCAGATTTTTGAAACAGGCGATCGGTTCATCTTTGAAGCGTGCGCCTATTGTGGGTGCCTCATCCGGGCCGCAGGGTGTTTGAAGAAAAACATGTTGTATGGAAAAGTATTGATCCATGTTGGGTGGGTTCATGGACACACTGCAAGAGCATCAGTTCTGCATGGACTATCTTAATTTTGAGCCTAACGATGAGAGTATATCTTGGGAAGAATTTCAGAAGGGAAGATATACAGGATGAGTGATTGTACCAGGGTGCTTTAGCACATGGTTTTCCATCTATTTGCTCAGGTGCTTGCCAGGCCACCGCACACTACCAGTTCCAGGACCCTTTTTCAACCCAGCTCTCAGCTGAATACGCTTGGCCGCTTGGCCATCCTTCTATATTACAACATGAGTCCAAAAGTTGTGCCAACAAAGCAAATTTTGTAATCTAAGGAAACCGTTTTCGCAAGATGACCCATCCTTTGTGTTGAACGCAGGAAACCTCTTCAACCTTTCGGGCAACACCAACATGTTTCAGCAGGCCGCCATCATGTGATCTGCCAACATATCTACTGTGGAATCCAAACTGTCATTGTGAAATATCTATTGTGGAATCCATTGTGTATTAAGATGTGATGTCAGATCACTTCACCCGGACTCGAAGCCACTCATTCGACAGGCCACCTGTGCGTCGTGGGGGGCCCCAAAGCAAGCAAGCAGACAAGCGCAAAAGGTCAAGCTTGCAAGACAACATCAGTGGTGCAGAGAGTTTATGACTCTTCAAAAACGCAAGACTTTTGGTTCTGGATGGGCGACTAGTTACTGTACCTAGTTGAGATGCCACTGTCAGCCATGGAACTGGAACGCCTTCTAAACAGAAGGCCCTCAAGGAAGAGACCTGCTTCCAGCCAGATAGTGGATTTGGTCTCCGAGCCTGATGAAGAAGATGAAGTCCAGAAACCTGCGTTGTCCGGACCTAAGTTCCGTCAAATCTTTGTTGAACCCATCAACCCATCACCACAAGTATTTTCACGTGGCTTCTTCCCAGGCCGCTCTTCCCATTGCCAAAATCAACAGAAGAGTTGTCGTCAGAGCCCCAAAGTCTGGATTTGCTTATATTTGCTTCTTGATCTTCTTGGGTCGCCCCTTCAAGGTTGTGGGCCTTCACACTCTTGGAACGCTCGGCGCTGGTTTTTGGGAAGCAGCATGTGGTCCACAAGCTGAGAACACAGCCTGCAAAGAGTGTGTGCTTCAAGATTGTTTTAGCACCCCCAAGATGAAAAGGGTCAGACTCTGTTTTCCACAACTGTATGTCAGCAGTGGGCAAGCATGTTTTTGAAAGGAACTACATCTTGGGCGTGCTATGACTTGTTCGGCGGGGTGCTTTGTGTTCGCCGAGCTTGGGAGATGATTGAAGCTGCTGCGCGCCACCTATGGGGAGTTGAATGCAGGGTGAGCCATACTTTCACAGTTTCTTTGCAAGCAGGGTGTAGCGAACAAACAACATATTCATGCATTGTGTACAAGAAGTTGGGGGATATGTTGGGGGTCTTGGTATCTCTTGGTCCGGCTCAGGTGGAGAAAGCCCGCAGTTGCATCGCTCTCTCCAAGCAGAGCTACCCTGGAAGCTGCATTTTTTCAGATATCTTGCACTTGGTCAAGAACCCTCCAAAATCAAAGTCATGGAATCCATCACAGCTACAGCTTAAGAAACATGGGTTCTGCCAACAACACAAGACAGAGTGCCTTGATTGAACAATCTGAACATATTTCAAAATGTGCTCAAATTAATTGGCACCTTCAACCCGACGCAAGCCAATCTTCGCCCAACCCACTGAATTGAGGTGCCCACTGAAGATGGGATCCATGAGCTGTGGCCTGATTGGGGCCCCGTGCATTCTTTTTTCATCGTGCCCTGCTGGAACAAGGTTTGCTATTATTGTCAATGATTGTGGATCAACGCATTTGCCAAAAAGCTATGTTGGTCACCTGCCAGGTATGGGCTACGCCAGGGCTTCAAAAACCTGGTTCTGAAGAAGGTTCATGATGTGTCCACCAAGTTCATCAAGGACACGCCCATTTCAATCCACGAGAATGTGGTTGGATATGAGGAGGTGGGGAAATACAATTCCAAATCTCCAGATGTTTCCTTTGTTTTTTGGCAGGCCTACTTGAAGCAGCACCTCAAGCAACACGCGATCCAGACAGTGACGCCTAAAGCTCAATGTCTCAAACATTCTGTTTACTGTAACTGTTTGGTCATGTTGGATCAGTGGCGTCCCAAGGCTGTGTCCAACACAGTTCGGGCACCCCAATCACAGACTGAGAAGCTGGCGAATCATTTACAACAAGAATAAGAAGGTTTGGTCCAGCCCTTTATCTTTGGAGGAGTTGGCAGACCTGATTCTTGCTCGGAAGAAATGTCAGTTGAAACTTGATTCGCAAGCTTACCTTGTGGCATCCCGAGCCCAGCTGAGAGAAACCCAAGTCTATGAAAGCCAGCTGTCAAGGCAAGGCTCTCTAGCACATGGCCAAAAAAATATCACTTCAAAGATCTTCAAAGAAGACGTCCAAGCCTGCCCCGTTGCAGGTCCCAAGCCTACCACCTGTCCAAGTACCGGGCAGCTGCACCAGGGTACAAAATCTATGACCTGTCAGCGAATTGCGCAGTTCGCAAGCGGACTGACTTGGTGGATGGGAGCATGCCGTGCTTGACAACTTCCAGCCAATTGTGGTCCCATGACTGAACGTGTTGCATGTGGCAATCGCATCGTAATCATAACCCCAAAGGATTTGAGTTGGTCTTGCTGGCAATTCAACATGATGTCAAAACACTTGGTCTGGTTGTTGCTCATTCCCAAGGTCCGAAAAGAAGCACCGGCTGATGCTGGGGTGGGAGCAGCTTCATGTGTTGGGCTATCCGGTTTGGGGGCCGGGAGCACAGGCTGCTGGTGTTGACTCTTGTCTCATTCTGTAATTTCCTTGTTACAGTGTGAGGGGACATAGATAGCATATTCAACATAGATTACATCCCTGCCCAGGAGTGTGTGGACACCAGCTATTTGACAGAGGCCAGCCTTCGCACCATGAGCGGCAATGGAATGTCGCTGGCCTGTGCCGGGTTCACAATGTTGATGGCAGTTCTTTGCACCAATGACCGGTGAGTAGTTTGACGGTCCGGTTCAGATTTCAAATTCGAAATTCATTCCTCTTTGTGGAACCAAGCCACAGCACAGTGCAGTTACAAAAGGCATCTGGGAAAAACAAAGGTCTGTGGTTAGGTGTCTGAGATGACCTGAGATATAAACCAAACAAGTCTGTCAGTCCCTGTTTGGAATCATTTCGTAGCAAACAATAGCAAGATGTTCATCATATTGTAATATGCGTGTGTTCAAGCCAACATGCCACCTTTCGGTGATGAACCCGGGGAAAAAACTCCTCGACCATTAGACTTCCTCAGTCTCCGCCATGCCCAGCCAAAGACACGACCTCTTCAACAGCGCATCTTTGGGCATGAGCCTGCCGAGTGCAGAGATGAAGTGGGGAGAGGGAGGATGGCCTGCACTGGACCTGAAACCAGACCAAAACAACCAAAACGACCTTTTGAAGACGAAGATGATGAATCCTGTACACCTTCTTTGCCATCTAGATTGAAGCAGGGAAGACCATCTGGTTCAGTAGCTTCAATATTTGGAGATGAAGGGCCTGAAACAGACATGACCATTTTGCCTTTCCCAAAGGCATCTGCATCACGGCAACCGTTTGCAGATGAAGAAGGTGAGAGTAGTGGGGCTTCTTCTACAAATGATGAAATGTTCCAAGTGAAAAAAGAGACTGTCTTCTCGTTCGGTTGGTCCTCTGTAGCCTCTTTTCAGAAGGCTACATTTTGGCGGGAACAAATGGATGATGAGAAGGCTCAGAAACCGAAACGGGCCTATGACAACAGCAAAAGGTCTAAGGCAGCAGCTTATTCAAGAACAAAGTCCCGTGGATTTTACAAGCGAAACGGTTTGGACCCTTCGAGACTGGAAAAGCTTTTTGCTACCAACTGTCTATGCGCCTGTGGTGGCATTAGACTGCAGGAATTTAGTGAGATAATGTTCAGGAGTGACTTTTGATTTTACCTCCATGCTTCTACCCATTCCCAGTTTGTTACCCCAGACTTCCAGCAAGGTGCCCGAAAGACATGCTTCCAGCAGTTCATCGGGTCGAAAGAGCTGGCTTCTTTTCTTGACAAGTTCTGGAATCTGAGCAAACAAGATCAAGACTCCATTGCACCTAGCAGCGCATTAGAGTGTAGCTTTTGTATGGGTGAAACAGCGCTGTGTTAGTTTGACCTCTTCCCAAAAGAGCCTGTTCCAAACTTCCCTGTTGCTAAGATGGAGATCTCAACAACCTCTGGCACTGGTGGCTCTACCTCATGCACCTTGCTGGACAAACCCACAGGGTTCAAGTGCTTGTCGGCCTTGCTTGGAGTCGGCTCCAACCGGTTGGAGAAGAAGGCCTCTGGCAATCCAGACCTCAGGTTTGGAAAGCATGAGCACAAAAGCCGTCCCGGCACCTGGACAGTGGATGGGTTCCTTCAAGTTGCTTACAATGCTATAGCTGAGACCCTTCCAGATGAGTTTCTTGTTCCAACACATCAGGAAACTGTATTCTGGACCCAACCTTATGAGGCTCCCCTCCAACAACCTTATGAGGCTCCCCTCCAACTTTATTTAATATTATATATATTTACAACTTACAACAAATCTTTGACATCGCATCAAAGTAAAATACAGTTTCCTTTTCACAATCAAAGACCAAGGTTTGTTCGTAGAGGGCGAGCTTCACATAGAAAAAGAGACCTTGGCGACAATGACCCAAGCGACTGGGAAGAGGTGGCTTCTGATGTTGAGAATAAGGAGGAGCTTCGAGAGTGGCTGGCGACCGAATCATGCAAGACCACCTTGTTGCCACACAACCAGTTGGTCAGGAAATGGTTGCCGCCTGGCACAGTCATGGACTTGTATGAACATTACAAGTCGACCCAAGCCATGTTGGGGAGCCATGCAGTTTCGCACCTGGAACAAATTCAAAACCTTGCTTTTTGCTTGCTGACCCCAAAGGTGTTGTGGGAGCTTTCAAAAGGTGCTGGTTCCAAATATATTCTGGGGTCTTGCCCAATCCTGCCCAGGTATTCAACCTTCAATGATGTGTTCAAAAGGCGATGGTCTGACGTATTACATTTCCGATCCAGAAGCTTGTTCACTACCTGTGAGGTGTGCAGTGCTCTGAAGGAAGAGCTGTCAGACAAGTCCCGTGGAGTGGAAGACAAGCTACAAAGCCTACAGCAGTACCGATTTCACCTACATTCCCAGTATGCTGACCGCTCTGCCCTGTGGCAGCTCCAGAGCCAATCCAGTGAACCAGACAGTGAAGTGCTCTTCATCTCAACTGATGGCCTAGACCAAGCCAAATTTGCTCTACCAAGGTATCCAGGCCTCAGGGCCAACGCATCAGTGTCTACTGGCATGAATCCTGTGTTTTTTTGGGTTCACCCGGAATCACCTCAAATCACCCGGAATCACCTCAAATCACCCGGAATCACCCCAAACCCACCAAGCTGAGGGGGAAGCATGAACGCCCACGCCTGAAGATCCACGGCATGTGGGCCTTCGGGCACAGTTTGAACATATTCATTTTGGACGATTGGGCCAAGCACGACTCAAGCGCAATACTAGAAATGCTTGCTATTACCCTTGAACGGGCTCCTTGCCAACAAAGGAGTTCTATTTTATCTTTTATCAAATGACTCTGACTCTGCTGTAAAAATTACCTACTAATCTCTTGTTTGGTCACCAAGCTCTGTTTGGTTCTTTCCGTTCTTTCCGTATAGGGCCGGACTTGTTAGCGACCAGGTAATGCAGCGGTGTGATGAAGAACGTCGAACACGACCAACCATGTTGATAGTAAACGCCTCTTGGTATGAGATTTGGGGCTGAACCTTTTTGGAGTGGTATGTGTGTTTGGGTCCTGTGGGTCCTGTGGTGGGTTGTTTTGAGCTTTCCAACTTCCAGGCGGACAACACTGTCCGCGAGTCCAAGAACCAATATGTGTTGACATACCTGCATACATTGGTTGCGCAACACCGCATGAAACTATGCTGCCTTTGCCATCTCAGACGGAGTCACACCCACTGCAGGATAGGTAATTGGGCACCAGATTGAGTAATTGTTGTTTACGCAGAGTTTATATTTTAGGAGGTTGATATAATTATATAATTGTTTTTATGTCTGTTTGAAGAGAGCTGCCTGAGATCATGGCTGTTGCAACTAAGACCAATTGTGGGGAATCATAAGCCGGAGAGTGGGTAACGAATCTTCCCTACAAGATCCTGGTGATGTTGCTGCAGCCATAACCCATGAGCTCTGCAAGCACAGCATAAAGGACTGGGTGGGTCCAGCAACAGCTGTCCATGTTGAGAAGCTGAACGCGACCCGTGACTGGGCAGGCCATTTGCCTAACCTAGGAGTGAAGCTCGAGGGCGGCCTGCTCAAAGATTCATCAGGGAACCATTTGTTTTTGAGTATGCAACGTCGAGGTTCTGGGAATGCCAAAAATGCACAATCTTTGAATTATGGTTGAAGTGTTTTGCAGCCACACTGAAGCATTGGATATTGAATTCACACCGCTCCCTGTAGATGTACCAGCTGCTTTGGCCCGTGCTATCAACCAGGGATCTTCCCGCGAGATGCCTTCTCAGGGTGATGTGATTCTCTTCATCAAGAAATACATTTCTGATGATGAACTATCTCAGGAACCTATGCTGGTGTTGAAAGAGTCACGCGCGCGAGACTTTGTCCTGAATCCACAAACCAAGACCCTGGTCTGAGTCCAGTTATTGTTCAGCTGTTTTTTGGGGGTCTCTCTTCAAAGGATGGGGAACAATAGCAACCAGTAAACAACTTCACCTTCCCCAAACAAAATTATATCTGAGGAAAGCCAACAACTACACCGCTGCTGTGGCTGGGGGGTTGCAAAAGCTGGCTGCTGCCATTGAGTTCTCCTACGGGGAGCGCTACCAGAGAAGCCTTGACTACCTGCAGGCCCTGATTAGCAACTCCTTTTGGACCAATGCCAGCTTGGCATCCCTGCCATGGCACAGTGCAGTCCATGCTCCTCCACCAGCTCGGCCTCCAGTGGCCATTCATGAGGCAGTGCTCAATGCATTGGCGCCTTCTGTTCCGTTGAGAGCTATCTTTAGGAGGAACTAGCTGGATTGACAAAAGAGCTTTCCAAGAAAATTCTTGAATCCAGAAGTCAAGCCCAGCAAAAGAGGCCTGGGAAACTACGGTGCTGCCAGAAGGGTTTGTGTTAGGTCCTCAAAGCTTTTCAGGAGGCCCCCAAAGAGTCCAAACACTGGGAATGATTTCATTTGTTGGTGAGATTCATTGAGAGTCCACATCCCACCATGAAGGGGCCCACGCCGATGTTCGATGCACCGATGGCTGCCGCCAGCAACTTTTCGATGCACCTTGGGGCGATGGGGCCCTAGAATCGATGCACCTTGGGGTGATGTGACACTAGAATCGATGCACCCTGGGGTGATGGGACACTAGATTCGATGCACTTCAGGGCTCCGACATCCCCGATATTTTCAATGCGCCAGGGGGTGGGGGGGGCAGGTTCAGTTTGGGTCGATGCACTTTGAACTAGTCACACCAAATTTTCGATGGACTGTGGGGGGATTCCATGACTTCTGATGCTGTTTCGATGGACTGTGAGGCTCACAGTCGATTGAAAACTTAGTCAGGGTGTTTGCAAACAAGACTAGGTGCATTGACTTTGCCGCAATCCCTGAACACAGGAATCGATGGTGTGTGAGGCTCACAGTCGATTGAAAACCTTGAACTTGGAGGTATCAGTTCAATTCCAGATTTCAGTTTTGCAACATAGAATTGAACACACCCCTTCAAAACCCAGCTTTTCGATGGACTGTGAGGCTCACACACCATTGAAATCATGTTGGACTTCATGGTTCAGAGTCGATGGACGTTGTGTAGCCCCTTTTGGTTTTGACAGCTGTTGGGCTGTTGATCAGCTGCCATGGCATCAGCCCAGCTGATGCCCTTCAAGGCCAAAGCTGAGGAGCGAGCCACAAAGCCGCTGCCAGACACTGAGGCGCCTGTCAAGAAGCAATGCACTCAGTATGAGAAGCAGATTCAAAAAATGGACGGCGATCCTGGGTTGGTGAAGGACTTTAACCAAAGATTTTTGTTCAATATGGGCCAAGAATGTTGGGGTGTTTATTTTAAGGAACAAAGAAGGGATCGTATTTGGACATAGTGATCTAGCGCAAGTTTGTAGGTGAACTTTACCCCTGCAGGATATCTATAGCTACCTGACCTCCTTCCGACAGGAGTGCGGTGAGTCTGAGGGAGATGGCTCACACCCGGCATCTTTGGTTTTGGAACTATTGGGTGAAGGTGATCCCAGCACTCGCCTCCAACAGCTTGATGCCTGGTACCAAGATTACGCAGCTTTCCGCAAGATGCCATACTTGTACAAGAAAGCTGGATTGGACCTTTGGTTGGGGAGTTGGAAGTTTTGATTTCAATACCTTGTTGGATTAGACCTTTCCTTTGCTTGGGATTCCTTGTGGATGGTCACTGTATAAGGAGATGGACCCATCTATGGAGAACGAAGTTGCGAAGCTGCCTATTGTCTGCCTGAAGCCACTTGGTGTTGACCGGCCTGTAATTATTTTTTTTGGTGGCCGTATTAGAGATATTGGACGATCTGGGTTTTAGGTACAAAAAAAGACACCAATCTCTAGGTATGAGAAGCCGGACGACGGGCTACCAGTGGTGGGCGACTGGTTGCAAACAGCCGAATCAATGCTTTTCGGAGGCATAGACCTTGCCCGCGAGCCGCTGGACGTTTCCCTGCCAACCGTTGGAGGTGTGGTATTTGTTTGTGTACACATGGACCAGCCCAGCCATCATACAAGGCCCCCCCACGTTTCATATTGTTTTTTATACACATATGTTGTCAGGGTTTTGTGATCTTTGGGATTGAAGAAATCGTTTCTGCAGGTTTTCGCTTTCCCTGCAGGTGTGTCATGGCCATGTGAGATGCAGGGAGTTGATGTGGTCAAGGGGTGGACCCGAGCTTCAGTGGTTGCCCTGTTTCTACTGGCGGCTAGCGAGTTGGACATCAATGATCCAGCATGCCAAGAGAAGTTGAAGCCCATGTACAAGGTGTTGGATCGGGCCTGGACAATCCCCTGCCACGTACCTGTTCTTGAAATCCGTGTGTTAAAAGCTTTCTGTTCCGTTTTCCTTTAGTTTATTTCTTGTGGAAAGGGTGCATCACACACAATATCCCTTTATGTGCGCTTCACATGATCTAAGATCTCCTACAACATGGACATGAGCCAAAGATCCTACCGGAATTTGACGCTTTCCTTTAGAGGGAGCGAGCGCCAAAGCCCGAATTGCCTTCAATTGGCCCTTCGCTTTAGCCGGATCATGGAGGAAAGGGCATCAGAGCATCCTCCAGGCACCAGCACAGACGACCGTCTGAAGGCTGTCATCAACGAGTTCCACTCATCGCATGGCTTGGCAGCAAAGCACAGACTCGATGAAGACAAGCGCCGCTCTGTGTACAACATCATTGCGGGCACTTGCCCTGACCTTTGGCTTTACCTGCTGTTTATTTATATTTATACCCTTAAAAAAGTCACAAATCTTTGAACCAAAGAGCCAGGGCAACAAAAACTCTTGGAGACAACTTCACAAGCCAAGGAGGCACGCCATGTGTTGCAACTCCACATTGACCACGTGAAGTGGGCGCATTCAGCATTTTCGACGGAACAGCTGAAGAGTCAACGCTGGATGATCGGAGCATCGCCCAAGGGATCCATTCCGCCTGCACTCAAGAAGGCACTCACTGTGACTCCGCAGTCCCAGGTTATGCACTTCCGTCTGGTGGTCAGCTGCTTTACCGAAGCTGGTCGTCGCTTGAGGCCAACATCAAGGTCAAGAGTGAGATGGTCCCAGCAGGCATTTGACAGTTGTTGCGACCTGGCGTGCGTCTATTCAGCACTGTTGGATGAGGCCAGATTGCTCAGCAGTTGGACCGATGCGAAAGAAGCAGCTGTGCTCAAGGCCTTTTTCCAGAGGTTCCTGGGAATTAGTTTCAACATGTTTTTTGGTGTAACTATGGAGCAACTTGAAAGCTGTCTCCTTTAACCCACTCCAATGTTCCATATGTTCCTTCCAAGGGACTATGTGGGCGAGGTGGAGGCCGCAGTCACCGCCCGACTCAGCACCTGGAACCTTTCCCATTTGGGCATCTGGTGTGACTTGGTCCAACCGCCTGCCACTCCAGTGAAGGTGCACACGGCGTCAGAAATCATGGAGCTTGAAGACGAAGCGCGAACTGCCAAGTTTCGTGAGGTTCGCGCCAAGTTGTCGCAGGATACAGCGGCCATGGTGGAGTTCAACAGTCAGAAGGAGGAAGCAACACGTCGCTCGCATGTTGTGAAGGTCATGCATGAACGCTCCCAGCTGGAGATTGGCAAAGGGCCACTAGACTCAATATCGTTTAACAGAACCCGGAAACGCATATACATATATTTATACATACAATACTATTTACAATATTATGTATGTTGCTTGGCATTGCCGGACCCCGGGCCCAATGCTTTTGATTTTTTTCAACCCCACCATCTCCCTCTGTGGCCTCTTCATCATCAATCGTCCCAAGGCTGAGCGAAGCCTTCATGGAGCGAAGCTGCCGCGTGTCAATGTTGACCGAGAAGAATGGCTTGGGCCCGAAACTGGACAATCTGTACCGATCTGCATCTTTGGTCCACAAGGCCAAACTTTTGGGCAATGTTTCTTTTTTGTATAAGTAAGGTAAAGGCACAATCTAAAAGGGTGTTCAATCTCTGCCTCAAAGTCTAACAACCTGTGCCCGGAAGGTGAGCCCACAGGAGATTGACACGATTCTGTACATTGACTGCACCAAGCTTGGTGTTCTCACGCAGCAGAACATCAATGCGCTGGGTGATCTGGCAGAGCGTGTTCTCTTCAGGGTTCCATCTCGTTTCTTGATTGTATAAACAACATCCCAAAGTGTTCAACCAACAAAGGAATCGTATTTTGGTTCCCTACTACAATGTTTTGTGAAACTTAGTCAGCATTCCAGGAAGTGTAATGGTGCTGATCCCACCGCTTCTGGTTGGGGCTGATGCTGCGGGGTCACTACGCAGGGATATTCGGACAGGGTTGGGGTCAAAGCCAATCACTTCCCCTGTTTTGGATTTAAAGGTGCTGTTTTCCGGTTCTAGATGTAAAACACTCACTGTGTGTTCAAACCAGGCTTCAAAAACTCTAACAGGAAGTTGGAGGACAAGATGCAGAACCACAAGATCGAGCTTCGTCCATGGACTCTGAACTTGAATTTGGAGGAGCTCCATCGCAACAGAGAGTTGCCTGGGGCTTTCTTATGTTTCTTGGGGGTCCCAGACATGACCCTTCCAATCCGTGGAACAGCTCACCGATCAGTGAGGGGCACGCCTGAACCAGAACATGCGATCAACGCGTTTCTTGTCCTTGAAAGCCATACTCTTTTTCTTGACTCTTTGGGAAACTATGGGCACCAAAGATAACACACGATGACTTTTCCAAACCCAGCCACTTCTCCCTCAAGGTTCTGCAGCAGCGCCTTGTGGAACCGCCAGGTATTGCAGGAGTTCCCGGTGGCCATTCAAGAGAAAGATTTTTGCGTGCCTGGAGATGTCATGCTGAGCCATTGTGAGCGGCGGAACCTGACTGACCTCCAGGAAACAAGTCAATGGCTTGGGGGGGTCCAGGTTCCTCGATGCGTCCTGAAAAGCCTCCTGAGTACCATGCCAAATAAGGTCAGTCAGATTTTGGGGTGAAATGGTTTAGTTGATTTATAGTTTTTTGTTGATGTACCTATACAAATATAGTTCTAGAGAAAACATGTTAAACACAGACCCAGCAGCTCAACCATAAGGTGGTGTGAAGCACAACTTTGGGACTGTGGTCATCCATCCAACCGCCTATGACGGGTGCTTGGAGCTTGCTGCAATTGAGCAAGGCCTTTGGATTACCGGGACTGCTACAATGGACGCTCACTACAAAGCTTGCAGAGATGCTGTGAAGAACCATTTGCTCGAGGAAATTCTATGGCAAACATATCAGGTTTTTAGCTAGTTCAACACGTGTGTTTGATTCAGTATGTTGTTGATTCGCTAGCTGCTAGCCTTTCTTTGGGCGTTCAATCTTGGGTGCCCTATCAGGCCTGGAAGGCCAATCGCATCCCGATGGACAAGCAAAACCAGAGGTACAAGAAGGACGTTGGTGGTGATGACATGCCCAAGTCTCCCCAGGTCCCAACTTTGCAGGTTTGCCAGTACACGGATGGCAAACTGACAATCCCATCTGATGTTAGGCAGCACTTCATGCAGTGCCCCCTCTTCGGCCCAGAGTGGAGGCAGTTGGTGGTGGAATTTGACAAGTCTTGGGCTCCTGTGGCTGAATCCACCCCATCCCGCTCGCCTCCAACCAGCGGGACTCCTGTGGGAGGCAGCACTCCTGACGTCAAGAATGAGACCAAACAGGAGCCCGGCGTCAAGATGGAGGATGATTTTGATTGGAGTGGAATCTTCTCGGATGCCCCTGCTACCTTGCACAAGCTGAAGGAAAAGTTTGGGGCTGATGCAACCGAACTCAGTGGCCCTACTCCTCAGAGTTCCTTCTACCTAGCACCAGGACCTCAGCTCTACCTGGTTGCGAAGGAACCCATCCACATCCAGTGCCGGGACGCCCCAATTATCGCTCACGGTGCCGGATCCTGGCTCACCGGCGACAAAGCCACAAAATTTGAGAGCAATACACCGGATCGTGGCATCCCATGCCGGATGATGCATGATGAAGAACCATGTGTCTTTGAGGAGTCACCGGGTTGACAGCCCCCAAAAATGTATGCGTGCAAAAAACACACTAAAAAACACATGCGCATTCTGTTTGAAACCATTGTGTTAAGACATCTAAAAGTATCTTGTGATTGTGTTGGTGGCCCTCCAGGAAAACGGCACAGATCGTGCACCTCAGTCTTTGAGGGCTTTGCTCCAATCTGTTGAGACAAGTGGAGTGGTCGACTACACCATCGGCGGGCACACATGCAGCCGGCCTGCGGAGGTGAAGCAAGGCAAAGCGCCGGACAGCTTCGAGATCCAGCCTGATGAAAGCAATCCGTGCTTGTGGCGCCCGCAAGCGATTCAACAGAAGAACTTGAAGGGGGCCAACGTCGCATCGCATTTCTCTTACCCTTTGCTGAAAGCTTCCCCTTTGGTCTTGGCCCCCTGGACTTGATGGACATATACTTTTTTGTTTCCTTTAGTCTGTTAGTCCAAATGGGTTGGGTCTCTTAAGAATCGACCATCCGGAGTCCCAGGTCTGGCGTATGAGGCTTTACAAATCTGAAAAGGTGATTGCCGCGGCGAAGCCGCTCTGGTTTTTGCCGGATGATGTCAAGTTGCCAAAAGATGGCTGCCAAAGGCTCATCTAATCTAATCTGATCCTGCGGTTCCTTTCCATTTTTGAGAAATTCTTCAGGAATATATAACGTCAATCAGAACCATTGGAACTTTTTGGCTGTTGCAGCAGGAAGCGCTTTTGGGGAACCCAGTATGTCAAAACTGGGCGTTTCTTCACTACGATGCTAGTGAGGCACTATAGATTCTGGTGGGATGGCATTATTTGCCAAAGAGTGGGGGAGGCAGTACCAAAAATGATTTGCAATCAGTCTGAACAAAGAAGAGATTGAAATCAGTCTGAGTCTACATCATGTGAATGTAGAAAAAATATATATAGACAATTATAGACATATAGGGATGCACAGCTGTGTTGAAATCATAACAGATGCACAGTTAGACCTTTGCAGTTTCTTTGTGTTCTCAAGTCTTGTTTGCTGCCAGTTGGATTTTCCACCCATGACAACTTCCCTGCCGACCCAAATCGTGGTGGATGATTGCCTCCTGGAGTATGAGCTTCCAAAGCCCGCTAGCTGTGGAATGTTTGGCCAGGAACGCCCTGTGTCCTCTCAGGGACCTGGCTTCCACACCATCCGTGACGACTGCCCACGACCCCGCTTTCAAGGCTTGTGCCTTGCCAAGAGCGTGCCGCTGATTGCTGCAATGCCTGTGGAGCCGTGTGTTGAGTCACCAGACTCACAGCTGCTCTTTGACCCTGTTGAACCCGCTCCACAGCATCTTGGCTGTTGATTAGATTCACTAGAAAATCACATCACATACCCTCACAACATCTTAGAATGTAACCAACCTATTCAAGTCCCTGTTCATTACCTGAACTCTAGGCCCTTCTCTGCTGTGGGTGAAGAGACCGAGATCGATGAATCTTTCTCAACACGAACGCCCCCTGTGTTTGGCAGCCTTGAGATGCCAGTGGATCCTGAGCGACCTGGCGGAATCAAGCGGAAACTCCAGGCCGAGTTTGAGAACCATGGTGATCCAGTCCCTCCTGTGGATCAACCCAATCTCAATGGTGAAATCCATGAATCTCAGATGAAATCGGTTGGGCATGTGGAGGATACTGTGGAGGATTTGGAATCGCTTGGGCATTGCCTAGATGACGAAATGGAAAAGGATGCAGTGCCAAACCATGAGTACAAAACATCTGAGAAGGCGCGTGAGAACAGCCGGAAGTGGCACCAGAAATGGATCTCAAAGGGGGTTCCCCGAGTGTCTGCTTCTACATCAACACCTACCCCGTCAGCTGCTACGGCTGCGGCTGCGCCTTCGAATCCCCCGCTTTCTGATGGTGGAGTGAGTCTCGCTAAGGTGAAGGACCAATTCATTTCCAAGTGGATCAAGGAATCCAATATGGCCCCTTCAAATGAAAGGCGGGCTGCAGCAATCAAGGCTTGGATGGCAAGCCAAGAGCGTGCAAATTTCTTGGCTGGCCGTGAGGGAGTCCAGAAGTAAATCCACACTGACTCAAACCCCTAGTTACTAGTTAGTTGAAATCCTGATTCCCAAAAATCTGTCGTTTCTTGTACCAAGGTGGATTCCCAACCTTACTGTTAGAAGGTTGCTGCTGCCAAGGGGATATTGGCGGCTGCACCAATTCCGAGAAAAAACATGTGTTTCATTGAACCATCATTGCAAAGCCGGAGGTTTTACCAACCAAGTCAGAGGGCTGCCACCCAAGTGCCCAAGGCCCAACCCAAAAACGCCTCTCTGATGAAGCTGGTGATCAGGCCATCGCCTGGGGTTGGGCAGGGGTCGAATGGAATCATCAACCCCTGTTCCAAAGTAGGGGCTACACAGCGTCGCTACTAGTAACAAGGGCATCGGTACTAGTCACAAGTGCATTGCTACTACGACCCGTAGTAACAAGGTGCATCGCTGCTAGTAACAAGGCATCACTGCTAGTAACAAGTGCATCTCTATTAGCAACAAGTGCCAAGTGCATGGCTAAGTATCAAGTTCCAAGTGCATGGCTACTATTAAAAAATAAAAAATATAAAGACACCATATGTATATATATATATAAATGTCGTCTAAACCCTTGCCCTGATCCCCTTTGCTCCAACTCTGCGCCCCGGCTACACCCCGGCCGCAGGCCGGGCAGGCAAACCGCCGGTGCCGGTGGCCACGTGCTGGTGGTGGCAGGGCCGTGGAAAAAGTTGTTTTTTTGAACTCTTGAAGGGTCCAATTTCTTGATGGGGGTATGACCTGTGTTCAAACAAATGTGGAAGATGTTTTTACTGTTGTTTGTTCCATGTCAAAACCATGTAGAACTTACTCTAAGTAACATGAAGACCCCAGAGCCCAAAAACAAACAGCAGGTTCGGCCAGCGCTGATCGTAGCAGGTCTCTCTCTCACTGCACACTTTACCTTCCAGTGTTCGATATAGATATATATATATATATTTGCCGGAACATCTTGTGTCGGAAAGCGTTTTTGAACTTCTGCTTCCTTGCAAACACATGTGGGTTGTTTTGGCCATGAGGCCATGATTGCTTCAACAACTGCAGCTTGCAATGGTGTCTGATTTTTCACCAAACTGCAGCTTGCAATGGCCAGCCATGTTTTTATGCCCACAGCAACTGCAGCTTGCAATGGCCATGTAGCTTGCCAATTTAGTCCATGGTAGTGGAGCTTGGTAGTTGAGCTTAGCCACTTTCAAACTTCAGATGCCATCAATTCAGCCTCAGATGCCACCAATGTAACTTTATACATGACCACTGTTTCAGCCCGCTGGCGTTCCATATAGCGGGAGAGTTCTGCGTCAGCCGTCGACCCCGTGACAAACGGCTGCCTCGAGGAGTTGCAAAGGCCAGCGCAGCCGGCCGCTTTGATGATGGTTCCCTGCGCTGATTTACAGTATGTTGTTCACCCTTAAACTTACCCAAGGCCTTTTGGATACTTCAGTGACTTCAGTGGACCCATATCGCCCAAGGTCCACGTCACTAAGGAGTACTTTCGCCTTGCTTGCAACTTCTGAAGGCTGCCAGTGCGTCTGTTGGCTAAGAACTCCATTCTCGTGCGAGATGTGAGGACGAGTCCGACCTGCAAGCCATTAAAGCTCCCGTATACAAGGCCCTGCGCTTCTCTGAGGGTGTCAATGTCAAACTGCTCTTCCTCACCCCCGTAGAGACACTTCCACTTCCTGTATGCCCTTCTTTGAGCATGTCGAGGCTGTACTCCTTCTGT